GATACTTAAAAGAAGAATCGAAAGGAAAATAGAGGATATACTTGTATACGATCAGTTTGGATTTAGAAGAGGAAAAGGAACCAGGGATGCAATTGGGATGATGAGAATTATAGCGGAACGAACTTTGGAGATAGATGAAGAACTGTGTGTTTGCTTCATAGACTGGCAGAAGGCATTTGACCGGGTAAACTGGACCAAATTAATGCAGATCCTGAAAGAAACAGGTATCGATTGGCATGAAAGAAGATTGATTAGCAAATTGTACATGGATCAGAAAGTTAGAGTACGACTGGACAGGGGGGAGACAGGAAGTGTGCAGATTGGAAGAGGAGTTCGACAAGGATGCTGCTTATCGCCAATTTTGTTCAACTTGTACAGCGAATGCCTTATCAAGGAAGTTCTGGATGGGCTCGGAGACTTCAAATTAGGAGGGCAAATTATTCAAACTGTGAAATATGCAGATGACCTTGTGTTAATGGCTAAGGAAGAAACTGTGCTACAGGGCATGATTGATAGACTAATTGAAATTGGAAGGTGCTATGGCATGGAAATGAATGTGGAGAAAACAAAAGTAATGAAAATTTCGAGACAACCAACCCCAGTCACAATAAAGATAGACCAAAAACAAGTGGAGAATGTGAAATGTTTTAAATATTTGGGTAGCTTGTTAACAGATGATGGAAGGTGTACTTGTGAAATTAAATCCAGGATTGCCATGGCAAAAGCTGCATTTAGCAAGAAGAAGAATCTTTTTACCAGCAAATTGGACTTAAATTTGAGGAAGAAACTAGTGAAATGCTACATTTGGAGCATAGCTCTGTATGGGGCTGAAACATGGACACTTAGGGCAGTAGATCAGAAACATCTGGAAAGTTTCGAAATGTGGTGTTGGAGAAGAATGGAGAAGATCAGTTGGACCGATTATGTGAGAAATGAAGAAGTGTTAATTAGAGTCAGTGAGCAGAGGAATATCCTACACGAAATAAGAAAACGGAAGGCTAATTGGATTGGTCATGTTTTAAGCAGAAACTGCCTTCTAAAAGAAGTTATTGAAGGAAAGATAGAGGGGCGGATAAAAGTGACAAGAAGACGAGGAAGAAGACGTAAGAAGATGCTGGATGACCTTGGGGACAGAAGAGGATACTGTCATTTGAAGGAGAAAGCTCTAGATCGCATTAAGTGGAGGAATTGTTTTGGAAGAGACTGTGGACCTGTCGTCTGACAGATTACTGATGATGACTATGAAGAAAGCATTCTTCTGTGATGTGGCACCGTGTAGATGTGGTGTTAACCGACGTTTCGGAGTAACGTATCGCCTCAGGAACTAAGTCCCTTGTACTGCGGCCACTTCTGGCCTATTGTACCAGTCCCAGATGATAGGTGAGGGTGATTGTGGAGCAATTGGTGGAATGAAGATTGGCAGGGGAAACCGAAGTACTCGGAGAAAACCTGCCTCAGCGTCACTTTGTCCACCACAAATCCCACTTGACCAGACCCGGGATTGAACCCGGCCGACGCGGTGCGTTGAATCTAACTCTCTGACTCACATGTATGAGTGTCTGCGAAATGTTAAGCCCACATGTTACATTCTTCGTAAACTGACGTCATTTAGGTTTGAATAGAAGATAAGGTAATGCTCAAAGGAACGCAAACATAAGCCCAGTTATTATTAGCAGAAGATCAGTATTATACGGATTCCAAGAACCGTACAAAAATATGACACAAACATTTCCAGCAAAATAAAGGATTCTTTGGGGAAGCTCTTCTTCCTTGTGACTAATGAAGAGGTTGCTTATTTGCTGAGGTTCAGCCTACATGAGTGTTATTCAAATAACTCGAAGTATAAGTCGAGGCAAAAGCAAACCCAATTAGAAAAGTGCATAAAAATCTGTAACTTTAGACACAAATCATTGCAGAGTATCACCTCCAACGCTTTGTTATAGAAATCCAAAGCCAGACAAAACTTCCTCATATGTAGGCTCCTGCACTGTACTGCTGTCGCTCCAAATAAAAGTTCGGCGCTCCTGATTCCATAGTTTCTCTCTTTACAGGCCCCTTTCTCTCTCTCTCTATGGCTCTACAGCCCTTCGGACCTTGGCCGATTCTTTAGTTCCCTAATCCCACACACAGTCAGTAGGACTCCTTGGACGGGGGATCAGGCTGTCACAAGGCAGAACAACACAAACTTATTTACTTACTCATGGAGCTGAGCCCTTCTGGAGGAGCCGCCAATTCTGTAGCTACTCAAGAATTACCCAGCGTTTTATGGAACCCGAAGGTTATTTACCGTGTTCATAAGAGCCCTCCACTGGTCCCTATCCTGCGCCAGATCAATCCGATCCATACCATCCCATTCTATCTCTCTAAGATCCATTTTAATATTGTCCACCCACCTACGCCTTGGTCTTCGCAGTGGTCTCTTTCCTTCTGTCTTTCCCACCAATATCCTATACGCATTCCTCGTCTCCCAATTCGTGCTACATGCCCTGCCCACCTCATCCTCCTTGACTTGATCATTCTAATTATACCTGGAGAAGAATACAAGTTATGAAGCTCTTCATTATGCACTCCACAACACAAACACAGAATAAAATCACACAGGCATCCATGCCTCAAGTAGGATTCGAACCCATGAACCCGTTTTCGAGCGGGCGAATACGGTTCATGCCTTAGATCGCGCGGCCACTGTGATCGCCTTATAGGCCTATTTACACATATATTAATAATACATAATGGGGGAAATCATATTACATTCATCAAGGATGTTTTTATGCTGGAACCGTTCGCAACGTGGTCTCGATTCGTTTTGAAAATACATTGAACCTTTGTTGTAACGGGCCAAGGGTGTCCGTTATAATCGAGTGGAGGGGTATTCACGGAATTACGCCATAAGTCACATAGCCAGTACACGCAATAAACACACAAAGGAATTACATAATTATTCCTTAAATTGAATTTACATTTTATTTGAAACATTCTTCTAGCTACAAAAAAACTTCTTAGTGCCTCAACGTCTCTATTCAAAAGTAAGCGTTTACGTATAAACATTAAACTCACGCTTCACAAATCTCTGATTAGGTCAGTTATATTTATGTCTGTCCCACCTGGGAGTGTGTGGCGGACGCTCACCTCTTGAAATGTCAGTGCCTACAGAATAGAGTACCCCGAGCTATTGGAAACCTTGACAGGTGAACACCAGTCTGCTAATTACACGTGGCTTTCAAAATTCCTTACCTGTAGCTACATAACTAAATTGTGCAGCACAGGAAGAATTAATCCTAATCCATCTAAATCCAAGCGTACGTGGTGCTGCATAAGGAGATGCCAGACGTAGGGAGTATAAGAGACTTAAAATTGGCGGCGGTCAGGCCTACAACCGTTCCTCTGACTAACTGCAGTTTCGGAGTAGTTACTTAAGTTAAGGCGTAACCTGCTGCACAAGCCTGCATTGAAGTAGATCTCTCTATATCTTGTATAGTGCAGTGACAAACGATGCACAGAGTCCATAGTGACCTGGACGCCATGACAGCGCGGATATACTCGTGCTGAGACTACGGTGCAATGATCTTAGGGCATGCACAGAAAACCGGCCCCTCCCTCGTCGAAGAGGAGGTCCCATTCGAAACGAATAAATGTTTAGCACAGAATAAAAATCTTGGTCGTGGATCTCGAGGAGACTGGAACCAAGAATGACTGTGCTGGCCAAGCAATATCACTGACCGACTGATCTTCCACGCCGCATGGGCAGTCGCGGCCCGAAATCCGAGAAGCTGAGGACATTTGGAGATGAGTCAGCCGGCAGCCAGAGAGGACAGGAACCTGAAGAGAAGTAGCGGGTGCTACCGTGAATTGTAACGTGCGTAAACTAGAGAAACGGTTATAATTACTTGCAGTTGTGTGTTTCAAGAATTCAATAAATCCAGTGTCCAATCCCGTGTCTAGCCACTTAGAGCGTGTAACGACGCAAAGGTCAGGTACTTGGAGATATAGTTTTTTTGGGGTAAATTTGGATAATAGTAGCTAGACTGTAAGATTAAGAAACAGCCATGATGAAACGAACCAGGAAGCTTGGGTTTACAAAGAATTTAACAGGGAATGCCTGAGTCATTAGAATGCTAACACGGCAGTGTAATAACTTTGAGGAAGAAGCTGTATGAAGTAGGTCGTATACACTATGGCAGGAGGAAAACGCTGCGTCGGAGGAGGCGGTAGACCCGAAAGAGTCAACCCCTTCTCGATGGGCAACCAATGAGGGGGGCCAAAATCACGTCAGAATGGGCAGGCCAACATACCCGGAACACGAAGAATCAGCAAAGAGAGGTTATATAAACCCTAGAAAACTTAATCAAAGAACCTTTTGCCTTTTGACTTTTGAATATCATTATGTGACAGAGAGTTCAGCCAGAGGCTATCGCCGAGAGAGCGATGGCCATGAGTGGGCCGTGGTTGGTGATGGCGAGCGTCTGTTTCTTCAGCCAAGTAAGTGATCCAACTTCATATAGCCATGAACATTAAGTGGGATAGTGACAAATGTAAAGTGTAAACCCCAGAGAAAGATAGTGCTAATTAGATGGACTAGGTTCATTCAGAAATACAGAGGCGTAGAATACCCGACAGTAGGATGACAGGAGGTAGAACTAATGATGGCTGCAGGTTCATTATCCAGTGTAATACAACCGACGAACGTCGGTAAGTGTGTATATAGTATGTATATAGTAACATAGGGCAATAGAATAGGATAGGCATGTGTGTGAGTTTACTTTAACCTAGCAATTTCTTAAGTGTTACCCTCTTCCCTGACGACTCCAGGACCTCCCAAAGCTTCGGCGAATTACGAGTTAAGCCAGGACAGTGACGTAAGCAACGATAAGTTTACCAGTTTTCTGGATATAACAAGATGGTGGCAGCATACTAAACCGGGTGACAGAGCGGGATACTTCCACGCCCCCTGTCACCACGGCATAATAGAGGTGTAGCGACGGCATAACAGTGAAGACAGCGGTGAGATAACCCATCCACCCCTGTCGTAAGGACGTAAGAGCGTAACAGTGGTGGAAGCGGTGGGGATTTACCTCCACACCCCCTTCCACGACGTAACAGAGCGTGAGAGTATAAAATAAGAGAAACCGTAACACTGGCTGGCCAGAAGAACGTCTACACTAACGTACTCATAAAACACGAGTAATGGACAGTATAACGCCATAAAACCAGTAGAAGGACAGGATCAGGAATAGTACACTTCACATACGATTAAGAGAAACAGTTTTGGTTATAAATAATCAACGTCCCTATATACTGTCACGTGTTGGGTGTGTCATGCGACAAATAACTTCACGTGGGTCTCGGATTCAGCGAATCTTTATTGGACACTTGCTTTTACACACCTTATAATTATTTCCACTTGCAATATCACTTGGCTTCTGGCCCAGTACTTCGATGCTTATACTGTCCTCTGACGTGGCTGGGTCTCGACTGTCTTCAGTGGCGGCCATCTTAAAACTGTATTCTTGCTCTTTTCTTTGTACGTGTCATACGCTCTGCTTTTATAGGTGTTATGCGGAATGGATACCAGACATCATTTATCACGCTTCCGTTACTACCATATCGACGGTCTGCTCTTACGTAATGGGCCTTCTGTTGTCCATCTCTGGGGAAACGCGTTAGTCGTTTCGGCATTGTCTACATAACGGCTCAGTGTTATTGCGTTGCCATGGAAGTTCCTATTCCAAACACGTTACAATACATTAGCAGCTGAAACGCATGTGACAGAAAGATCGTTTTTGCTAGAAGAGCAGAAATTGATCATACAACATTTTCTCACGCTCTAAGAGAGAATTCGAAGACAAACAGTTTCCAGAATCGAAGGGCAGAATTCAGAACCAAGGTAAACCTGAACAAGAGACGGGGCATTGAGGTGAATAATAATAATTATATTAAATTCTTTATTATTTATGTGCCGAGTCAACAGCCGCAAGGCCAATTACAGACAGAGCACAGTGTAGATACAAGTAATTACATTATGAACAATCACAACATAAAGTCAAACACAAATTACAGCCAAGCACTGAAGGAAAAACACATTAATGCAGACAAGTTAATGAACAATAATAATAATAATAACAATTATTTCATTAACATAAGTCTAAGTTGCTATTGAGAACTGAGAAATGAAACGTATAAATATTTAATTGTGAAATGAAAAGTATAGCTATTTAGAGAGAATAAAACAGTAATAATTAAGTTTAATTGTTTTTATGTTCATGCAAATAATAATAGTAAAAATTATGCAACATTTAAAAATCGTTTGGGGAGAATTTTCCTGCCTTCGAATACGTCAACATCCCTGCAAACAACATTAGCAGCTGCTGCATATCAAGCAGAGGGACAGTTTTTACATGAGGAGCAGGCACTGAACAATGCAAAGTCTCTGATATCCCGAGCAGGAACTCGGAGACCAACAATTTCCAGAACAGAAGGGCAGAATTTGAAACCAAAGTAAGCTTGAGTAAGAAAGAGAGCATCAAGGCGATGTCTCCTAGTATGTAAAGTATGCAATTTTAACTCCTCTAGGGCAAGAGAATAACAGTAATGGCCTTGAGGAAAGAAACGATTAAAACAAAGTATAATAATGTAATGGGTTTGGGTAGGTCACGCGACAAATAATCTCACGTAGGTCAAGGCTGTAGCGAATATTCATTGTGCTTTGCTTCTACAATCACACACTTTTACACTTATTGTCCCTTGTAGTATAACAATTACTGCTTCCACTATTTCTCGGCGAATACTAGACTGCCTTCGACGGCGACTGTCTTAAGACTCCAACTTATATTGAATACTCAATCCTCATTCTTCACTCCTCTGTAAATAGTGTTCCTGCTCCTTATACAGGCTCGGCGACAGATGTCAGGTGTGTCTACCTATCCATTGCCTAGCAATAGACGCCTTACTGTTGCGTGATGTCACAGTCTAGCGGGGGGGGGGGGGGGAACGACCGTTGTTAATCAACGAACACTCGTTGCTACGGATATTCCTACGCAACGGTCTACTGTTATTGCGTTACCATGGAAGTATGTACTCCAAACACGTTACAATAATAATTCAATTCAATTCGTGTTTATTTACGCGCAAACTTAACAGCACAAAGGCCAATAACAAAGTTGGCACGAGTACATAGAAATACAGATATAACTAAAAGACAAAATACAAATAAGACAGTCTACATAATGGCATGAAATTAATAATAATTCCAAGAAAAATTAAAGTTAGCATTAACAGGTGAGAAAATAAAATAAGTACATTCCAGACCCACTATTTCTCAGAAAATCTGTTAGCGCCGGGAATCGAACCCGGACGTCTGGTTCTGTAGGCAGGAAATCTGACTATTAGACCACAGAGGCGGCATCGATGGTATATAATACTCAGAATTACTCGGTTTTTGGACTTTGTCTATCGTCAGAAAATCGAGAAACTAGAAAACACAGGGTTTCGAAAACTATATCTGTTTTCATCCTCAGATGAGGGGGGGAAAACACCGCAGAAGTTTACTGTGAATCTAAAACAAAAGTTGACTCCGTACCATGGAAAACCTCCCCTCACCTGAGGACGGAAACAGATACAGTTTTCGAAACGTTGTGTTTTCTAGTTTCTAGAATACCGGACGATTGATAAAGACCAAAAAACTATATCGTTTCAAATAAAATTTAGAACGGTCAGTATCCAGAAACTTTTGCGTCGTATTAGCAAGAGATCGACAGAAAATATCTACGCTCCGCTCCGATATCGTACGCCATTGTTTCTCACCCGCCGATCCGCTGCCCAGTACCGGGCCGTAAAGGGTTCTCCTGGAATTGGTCATTTTAGTTTTCTAAGTACGAGGGTAAGTCAATAAGTAAGTTACAAATGGAAATAGAACTTAAACAAATAAGAGTATTGATTTAAAAAATGCTTTTATTTCTCAACCCAATCTCCCTGTACATTTAGGCATATGTCCCGTCGTTCCACAAGCCCCTGAAAACCAGCAGCATAAATTTCTTTGGGCTGCTGTCGGAACCAGGCGGTGACTTCCCTACAGAAGGGTAACACTACACACTATAGCCACTTCTATTGGTCGTTCACATGGCATGGCCTACCTCATAATGCATGACAGGTTAGGTTTTCACAAAGTCTGTGCAAGATGGGTGCAGCGCATGCTGACCCCACGACACAAAATGCAAAGAATGGGTCTCGTATTACAGTATCTCTGTCACTACCACGATGAAGGACACTATATGCTAGCCCGAATTGACACAAGTGATGAGTCTTACTCCAAGCGACTTCCTTTTGTTCGGCCCTCTTAAACATCATCTTTCGGCTGAACACTTTTCCGACGATGAAGCTGTAGAAAGGGAAGTCACCGCCTGGTTCCAACAGCAGCCCAATTAATTTTATGCTGTTGGTTTTCAGGGGCTTATGAAATGACGGGACAAATGCCTCAATGTATAGGGAAATTATGTTGAGAAATAAAAGCATTTTTCAAATCAGTGCTCTTATTTGTTTAGGTTCTATATTCATTTGTAGCTTACCTACATATTTTTCGCGAATAAATATTCTATAATGGAAATATTCTAAGAACGATATCCGTGAATATGTCGAAAAGCTCAGGCCCAGAACGCCTAAATAACATCTGTGTAGCATATTTCAGTGACAAAGCCGCATATTTTTAAAGATGGAAATGTTCATGAATGAACGGGAACTTTCAGACATCGAAATCTTTATAAACATTCGGGATAGGGAATACCGCTGTTAATGACAGGTCATAAAAAGTTTCTGCAAACAACAATGAGCGGCGTATCCCCTGTTCTCAAAGCTGAACGAAATAACGTTTGTATTGGGCCAGAAGGAAAGAGACCACTGGGATGACCAAGACGTAGGTGGGTGGGCAATATTAAAATGGATCTTAGAGAGCTAGGATGGGATAGTATGGATTGGATTGATCTGGCTCAGGATAGGAACCAGTGGAGGGCTCTTGTAAACACGGCAATGAACTATCGGGTTTCATAAAATGCTGGGAAATTCTTGAGTAGCTGCAGATTTGTCTTCGCATCAAGAAGGGTTCACCTCCATAAGTAAGTAAGTTAGCAAGTTGCAAATGTTTGTGACCAATCAGCAAGGAAGTATAAAGAAATGTTTTCCACTGAAATTGAAGACCAAGGCAGTCTGAATCCGGTTTCCATATCTAGTAAAACTGAACACTGTTTCTTCTTAAGTTGGCATTGCAGTGTGAAAGCGCTTGTTTCGAAACCCGACTGCAGTGATTTCTTTTAAGTTTTATGCCTAGGGATTTAAATTTTAATATGAACAAGAGACAAGGGACTTTGTTTAATTTTGGTGTCGAGAAATCTCGTATTGAAGGTGTCTGTGACGCAAGAAATAATGATTGATCCACCTCAAGCCTATAGGGCGATTCCCAGAATGTACAGGAGGGGAAAACCACCAGCACACAGAAGAAAAAGTCTGCATCCATTCCTAAGTGCATGGACAGCTACTTAAAATTTGGTTTCATACAATGCCCTAACACTGACCAATTGCCACGACCTCAATGTGTCATTTGTGCTACTGTTCTGGGATATGAAGCTATGACGCCATCGCGACTCGCCCTACATCTCAACACAAGACATTCCCATCTAGTCAACAAACCCACTGAATCATTTTTGCACAGAAGAGATGCACATAAAATAGAAAAGAAAACGATTTCCAAATCTTCAACCAAGGACAATTCACTTCTGATGGCATCCTATCTGATATCACTACAGATAGCTAAATGTAAAAACCGTATTCCACTGGCGAAGAACTCATTGATCCTTTTTTGACTGCTGCTTGTAATGAAGTATCAGACCAGTGTACGACAAGTAAAATGAAAGAAATCCCATTGTCGAATGATACACTTGTAAGGCGGATATCCAATATGGCAGAAGATACAGGAACGCAACTCACTGAAAAAAATAAAAAAAATCTCAATTATTTGCATTACAGTTCGACGAAATTACAGATATTCAGGACAACAGTATTTCACTTTCGTATGTACGAAATATTGACCATGTTAAAAGTGACATGAAGGAAGACATTTTAAGTGTTTCTGCAGTACCTACGCACACTACCAGCAGTGAAATTTTCAAAGTTTTAAATGGTTCCATTGAACAAGGAGGTCTCGAATCGAAAAATTTCGTTGGAGTCTGTACTGACGGGGCCGCCTGTCTTACACGTAGAAATTCAGGTTCAGTCACTAAAATTAAGGATATGGCGGACAATAAATTATTGTCAACGTATTGCTACATTCATAGGCAAAACGTGGCCTCCAAAAAGAAAAATGGCAACTGAGCTGAATGGAGTCATGTCTCAGTCTGTTAAAGTTATTAATTACATGAAGTCAGTGCTTTAAATACAAGACTGTTAGAAGCTGTGTAGGATGAAATGGGCTCTGATCATCATTTGGCGTGTGTATGTGATAATCAGGGATTCGCCGACAAGTTGAGAGCCTTCTGCTGCTTCCCTTGTTCAACTTACTTCTATTATGAGTTACAATGCATAAAAAGTTTTCTCACTACCGTTTTGTTTTCAAACCAACATCATTAATATCAAATTAATAATACAGTAATCAATTTTACATTGAATAATATTAAAAAATTTCCATTGATACGATTAGAATATGTCAATGAAAATTATTACAAATTAATTTAATGATGTTGACCTGAGGAAAATACAATATGCTACAGAATTTCATTAGTCCACTGATTGATAACTTATTTAAATGTACTTTTATATTTGTCAACATGCCACACCGTATACACAAGTGTATTAATACTCTTTATTATTATAAAAAAAAAAACTCCGTGATTTTAGTCCGCAAGCGAAGTATACCGACCGAGCGACCGTCGCTTGTCGGTGAAGTTAGTGCCAACTTTAGCGGATAGAGGGTGTCGCGTGGTCAGCGCAACGAATCCCCACGACCGTTAATTTCGGTTTTCTACACCGGAGCCGCTAATTTTGCTTTCAAGTAGCTCCTCAGTTATCTTCACGAGGCTGAGTGGACTCCGTTCCAGATCCACTGCTTCTCAGAAAAAATGCCATGATTAATTATTAACACTTATGATAGTTTAAGATATGAGCTTCGAAAAATTGGAAGAGTATTTACGTTTAAATTTGTAGGGACCGGGCCCTCGTCTTATAAACTTCATAATTTACCGGACCTCGGTCTCACAGAGCTTGACAACCACTGTCGTAGTCTAAGAATAGCTTTAGGTTCTGGTTTAGGAAAGTAGCATTTCAGATCTGACACACGTCATCGCTTCTGAAAATAAAAGCCAGACCACAAACCGGCGATAAGATTCTTCTGACGTCAGTTATACATAGTGTAGCGTCATAAACAGCATCGCTTTCTCGTTACTGTGAACAATTTAACGTTATCAAGGGCTGACTAGTTCAAACGTGCTCCGTATAAAACGACTGAGAGAAGGTTACACTGCCTCAGAGGCTTCCGTTGCTGTCACAGTAAGTGCATTTGTACAGTGTATATTTTCTAGTTTTATAAACAGAGTGGTCCAGTGATCAGAGTTCCTGGCTACAGACCTAGAAGTCCGGTTTCGATCTCCTGTGCTACCAGATTTTCTGAGAAGTAGTGGGCCTGAAACGGGGTCCACGTGACACGCTCTACCCGCTAAAGTTGGCACTAACTTCTCCGACAAGCTGTGGTCGCTCGGTCGGTATAGTTCGCTTAAGGATTACAGACCACGGAGTGTGTTTGTTTTTGTTCCTAGTGCGTAACATCTGAAAGAGATAAAGGTTCTGAGCGGATAGGAGGATGAATAGTTTCTCAGGTTATGGCCTATTGATATGTGACGCTGTGTAGTCTGGTACACTATTCCTATCTGTCAGACTACACTACATTGAATTCTCAAATACCATAATGTTAATATTCACTGCCGTGAAAATTTCATCGTAAATAAATGCTCAATTACTGTTGGGAACCTGATTTAAGAGACGTGGCATGAATAAGAGGAGAGCTGTATTGGAGTAAATTGGGTTTTCAAATATAATGTCAGTTGAATTCGCTATTGATGGATACAGATTTGATGACACTCTCGGGGCCCACTGCATGAACGAAAGTGACCTATAAGGCCGTGCCATAACTCAGGCAGTTACTCGCCGGCTTCCCACCTCGGTGGTCCGGGTTTAAACACATTTCAGATCATGTGGGATTTGTGGTGGACAAAGTGGAACTGGGACAAGTTTTATCTGAGTGCTTCGGTTTCCCCTGCTAATCTCATTGCACCGACTACTCCACGCTCATCATCTGTCGTCCGGAGCTGGTTGGTGGTCGACATACCAAGCGGACTGTCTCACCTCACCCCAAGAAACTAAAAAAAAATGTCCTATGCCGCGGAGTAAATCAAATAGTTATATAGTTATTTAGTATTGCATCAAAGCAAAGAGGCTTGCGTGCAGATTTCTGAAATCTTTTTATAATTCCGAAAAGAACGTTGAGTATTTGAAGAGCATATGAAACGGTTCAAGCAAGTACTGTTGACCACTCTGTCTTCAGACTTCCGTGAAATCCGTAGGACGCGCTTAGTTTCAGTTTCACAGTTAAAAATTCTGATGTTGAGAAGTACTGTTACTGGTCTTTGTTTCCAGACTGCTGTGGAATCTGACATACCAAGATGGTGGTGATGCTGAATCAGTGCTGCTGCGGCTGTGAGCTGAAAACTGGAACGATCATAATAGGAGTTCTCGATGGGGTACGTGCAGTTTTCAACACATAGCTACATGTACATGTTAATTCGCTAATATCTTATTTAACAGTCTGCTATAACTGTATTTTGAATGTAAGAATTGTTATAGTAAATATAAGAGGAAAATGTAAAAGGTAAAAAAGGCAAATAGCAGCGTTTACTAAAAGCTGTATTAGCGAAAATGGTACAAAAAAGTACAATGTAAGTTACGAAGTACCTAACCTGCGACAACCAGACGTCCTCTTCCTAATAGTATCGTCCAGTTTTTTTTTAATGTGGTGCTCCGTTCTCCCATTAAAAATAAAGTGGAACAGAAACAGTCTAGCTTTTCATGCAACGACTTCTACAGGTGCATCACAACTCAACGGCAGAACTTCAGGAACGGACTCCTCATATGGAGAGAAGAAGAATGTGTATGACAACATGGGTCCGGAAATGCATAATTACAGAGTTATCCGAGCGTGTAATTTATGGAGTGCACGCTGACACGTCCTGTTTGCCGGAATAAAAATGCGAGACACCGGTTGTTTGTTGGGACCCTACGTTCTTCCGGACAAACTTAATGGACAGAACTACACAGATTTCTTGCGTACTATATTGCCCGATTACTTGGAAGACATGCCACTAGCATCCCGTCGACAGCTGTACTTCATGCATGATGGTGCGCCCGCACATTTCAGTCTGTCTGCTCGCCTGCAGGAATCTTAATGCACATTATCCTGGGCGCTGGATAGGTAGAGGTGGACCGATTGCTTGGCCACCACGCTCTCCTGACTTAAACCCCCTGTACTTTTACCTGTGGGGACACTTAAAGTCTGTCGTGTATTTGACTGCTGTTGCTGATGTACCAACTCTCCGTGCGCGCATTGTGGCAGCCTGTCAGACAGTACGCACTACGCCGGGCATTTTTGATCGTGTGCGGCACTCAATGCAAGGACGAGCGGAGGCCTGTATTCAGGCAGGAGGAGGTCACTTTGAACAGTTCCTGATACGTGACCAGAGTGTTCCAGCTGGCGTTACAGACATATTCAGTGTAACATTGCAACAGTGTTGGGAGTGTCGGACTGCACTAACGTCACTAAAAGGTCGGATAACTCTGTAATTATGCATTTCCAGAACCATGTTGTCATACGCTTCCTTTCTTCTCTCTATACGAGGAGTCCGATCCTGAAGTTTTGCCGTTGAGTTCTGATACACTCTGTATATTTTTGTTTCGAATAATCACAAATTACTGCAGGAAGTTCTTTCGTCCCAGGAGTACAGAACATCTGCCAAAGAGGAGGTACTAGCTCCAACATCTGTTGGAAATGCGTGCAAACCGAGCTTCATATATTAAGATATTTAAAATTTGTCTGCAATCTCATTAATATTTTTAAAATCTACTCGCCCTAACCTAACCAAATAGTCAGCAAGAGGCAGTAATTATATTTATCTCTCATTTACTTGCTCTTTATCTTAATACTTTATGTAATTATATAATTAACCTACTTATTTCATGTAGGACTTGAGGTTCTCAAAGATGTGACTTTGAAGAAGACCGTCTTCCGGAATGTGGCGCTGTGTAGATCTTGTGTGAACCGACCTTCCTCCGAAACGTCTGTTCTCAAAAGATCTTCATAGCGTCACATCCCACAAGACGGCATTCTACTTATTTCATGTTATTCTATCCCTTAAATAATTATTATCTTCTATTGCTTCAAAGGCCCAGGAAGGGGCTATAGAGCCATAGAGAGTGAGAGGAGAGAGAGGTCAGTGAATGTTAGCGGAACTCTATGTTACTCGTTCCATTTCCACTGGCAGGATTGACTATCAGAATAAAAAATTAAATTCATTATTAATTATTTCGATATATCTAACTGTTATCAAAGCTTGTGATTCAAAAGCTTGATTATGTAACTGGTGATGGAAGTTTTCATATTATTGCCTTAAGAAAAATGAAGATGACAATTTCAAAGTCATGCAAATGTACAGGAAATAGCTGAAATGTGCAAGAAATTTTACATACCAAAGCAAGAAAAAATTTCCATATCAATATGCGCCCGGAAACATTTAATTTGTAAGTTATAGCTGAAGTAGTACATTTGTAATAAGTGCTCAAAATATCCTCCGTGAGATTCAATGCACGCCTTGACACGTCTCATCATGGACCGCCACATCTGTTCAAAGATGTCTGGGTAGTTTCCGATACTCTGACAGGTACCCACAGTGTAATGGTGAGGTGTCTCTTCGTTGTCAACAGGAGCTGCGTACACAAGGGTATTCAGGTGCCTCCACAGGCTAAAAGGAGAGGATTGCAATCTGGTGTGGAGCGTGGAGGCCGTGCGGTGGGCCCTCCTCTACCTATCCCTCGGTCATGATGTTTGTTACAGAGAACATGTCGCACAGCGCGGCTGAAATGCTCGGAGCACCACGTTAGATGTACCACACTCGTGCTTCGACTGGCAGTTGTACATCTTCCAGTAGCTTTAGCAGATCTTGCGTGAGGAAATCTGGGCAGCGGTTGCCTCTAAGCCGATGTGGCAAAACCATGCGGGCCTACCAAATAATCACCAACAATCCCTGTCCACAAATTAATGCTGAACTGCTGCTGGTGTCCACACAGCACTATTTCAGCTATAAATCAAATTAAATGTCTAAAAAGTATGTCCACAACTTGGCAGAAGTATATGCCATTAAGGCATGTATTATGGAGAATTTAGATAGGAACTATGTAAATAGGAATATCTACATTCTATCTGACAGCCACGCTGAACTTAAAGCGCTTGACGAACGCCAGATGAACTCAAAATTTGTCTGGGATTGCCACCAAACTCTCATGGAACTGGCCAAACATAACAGGGTACAACTGTTATGGGTGCCGGGGCATGCGGGTATTGCTGGAAACGAAACAGCAGATCAATTGGCCAAGATTGGAGCTGAACATCTTTCCTAGGACCTGAACCAGCCTGTGGCATCTCTATAGGAGTTGCCAGACAGACAATCAGGGACTGGACAAATATGAAGCACAAGAAATACTGGGGATCCTTGACTGGGCTCAGGCAAGCACAGGGACTCATACGAGGACCCTCTGCTAAAAGAGCGATGAAACTGTTGAAGTTAAACAGGAACCAGCTACGATGGGTGGTAGGACTACTTACAGGACACTGTCACCTTAAAGGACACCTCTTCAAACTGAGACTAAGTGATAGTCCCACTTGTGAGAGGTGTCAATAAGGAAATGAAACAGCCACACATATCCTGTGTGAATGAGAGGCCTTAGCTTATTTAAGATTACGTTACTTGGATCAATACTTTATGGAACCAAGTGACTATCACTAGACCACTGTAGGTCGCGGTGCAAGGGCCGAGGAGACCTACCCCTCATACAGTCATTCATTCATTCATGTACACACCTTTAATTTACATTCATCTTGATTTTTATTAAAGGTACTTCACGTTAAATATTTTTGTTTACAGATAGCAGCTCTCTACTCCCTTGTTACTAGCATTGTTGCAGCATCGGCTGCAATTGTAGTCGGCGATAAAAATCAAAGCTACTTGGAGAGTAAGTATAATTTCTTATGTGATTTCAAGAGTAAATCATTAAACATACCGCTGAGGTGGTGCAAAAGATAACAGAAAACAAATTCAGGAAAAAATATGCCCAGAACTGTAAAAAAAATATGAAAACCACCTGCTTCTGTTCTTATAAAGCGGGTATATCAACGAAACCCGATTTCTGAAGGCATAAAGTGTCCAGGCGCCATGCAGATATGACCCAGTGGCCGCAATAGAGCTCAGCTGAATAGATGCTGGCCTTTCTGCGCAAAGTCCTCTTTCAGCCTCGTGTGACTTCATCTGAGATTCGTGTAGGACTAAGTGGCGCTTAAGCAAAATTTCTCCACTTATATTCTGGGTTTCCCCTGCTAACCATCAGTCCACCATAATTCCACTGTCATCTATCATCGCCCCCTGGGATGAACTTATCAGCATCTCCGATCCTTGGGCTTCCTATCTAGCTAGGTTAGTGAATAAACAAGTGTTGCAATATTGACGGACGATAAATACATGGACGTGAAGTTAAACAACTGCAACAGGATGCTGAAATAGCGCCTCTAACTGGGTACTTGACTGGTTAGAAAGAAAGAGAAATATAACACTTTTAGATATTAACATTAGAATGATCAAGTCAAGGATGATGAGATGTGCAGGGCGTGTAGCACGAATGGGTGAGAGGAGAAATTCATATAGGATATTCGTGGGGAAGCCAGAAGGAATGAGACCACTGAGAAGACCAAGGCGTAGGTGGGTGGACAATATTAAAATGGATCTCAGAAAGATAGAATGGGATGGTATGGATTGGATTGATCTGGCTCAGGATAAGGACCAGTGGAGGACTCTTGTGAACACGGTAATGAACCTTCTGGTTCCATAAAATGCTGGGAAGTTCTTGAGTAGCTGCACAATTGGCAACGTCTCAAGAAGGGCTCAGCTCCATGAGTGAGTGAGTGAGTGAGTGATCAATTTTTGGTAAGAAAGATTACTAAGTAATAACCGCACAATCGATTACAGTTATTTCACTGTCATTTCCGAGTTTTCAATTCCCCGAAAATTCTTCATCACTAACCGTGAGTGGTGAGACAGCTACAGTTATGAAGATTGTACGGGGATTCACACCCGGCGCAGCTCAACGCCTATCACTTTCTATTAATTTGGTTATTAAACGACGTTTTCAATAACGAGACCATATCACATCGATGGTGATTCTGAACGAGGTGGAATTGGGGGAATTGAACCTGGTAGGGAAAACTGAAGTACTCGGAGGAAACATCTCCCAGGGCTACTTAATCCACGACAAACCCCATATGGCCTGGAATCGAACCCTGGCAGCCAATCGCACGGATGTTCCATTGTTATAAATTGTAAAGCAGGTGTTTACTAGATACCTCACATAACAGAAGAAGCCTGATGTTTCAGTAAATTTGAAATGATGACGGATTTCTATTTCAGCGGTTGCTACCCTGTCCATAGTATTGGCAGTGTTCTCTGCTCTGCTCCTGCTGGTTTCCATCTGCCTCCTTGTAGGGGCAGCAAAAGTAAGTGACAGTAACCACAACCAGGGTAGGGTTTAAGGGACATCGAGCCGGGTGTCACTTCGGTGCCTCCCAAAGCAGAAACAGGTTCCAAAGATTTTATCGGGATATTTTTTCTCTAATATCGAGACATTTTTAGACTGTATTTTTAGTTATTATAAGAAATAAGAACAGCAAAGGATTCTTATAACCTAAATTTCTTGTTCCTGATAGTGGCCTCGAAATTTGATTGTCCCTGAACCCCACAACTTTAAATCCGACTCTGAGTTAGAGAGGCTGTATTTGAAGAGGATGACAATTGAGGTTATGAGGGGAATATTTGGACCTAACAGAGTTCGAATACCGGACCTTGGGGGAAGTTGCATAATGATGGGCTTCGTAATTTGTACTGTTCATCAAATAGTATTAGGATGGTGTTCTCCAAGTATAGTTAGAACGATCATGTCACGGAGGATAAGATGAACAGGATATATGAATCCTTATAGGATTTTGGCTGAAAGTCAGAAAGAAAAGGACAACTAGGAAGACCTAGAGGTAGGTGGAAGGATAATATTAAAATGGATATTAGAGAGACAGGATGGAATGTTATGGACCGGACTTATCTGGCCCAGGATAGGGACCAGTGAAGGCTCTTGTGAACACGGTAATAAATCTTCAGGTTGGATACGATATTTGGAAATCCTTGAGTAGCTGAGGAACTGGCGCCTTCTCAAGAAGGGCTCAGCTCCATGGAGTAAATTTAAGTATATTGAGATAAACAGGGCAAGAAAAAGGCATGCAAGTGCAAACCCATACAAAGTGCTAGTAAGAAAATCCGAAAGGAAGACACCACTTGCGAAATCTAGATGTAGATCAGAGAATAATGTTAAAACTGATATTAAAGAAAGAGGATATGAGGGCAGGGCCTTGAATTATCTGGCTCAGAATAGACACTAGTAGCAGGTTCTTGTAAACACGGTAAGAAACCTTCGGAGTCCATAAATGGCAAACAGCTGGCAAACCTTAAGCTATCTGGAAGTTCGCAGCGACAAGGGTAATTCCGTGAACTGGATAATAAGAGTGAACGAAAGCCTCAGAATCTATACGCGATTTCGACGGTGTTTGGCATTTCAGAGGAACGGAAACTGGGAAAACATCTAGCTGAACGCAAGGATTTACGTAACCAGCTGATAAATTTAAAGTATTCATGATATGCCTGCTACTATATCGTTAATTCGTTGGTTAATTAGTATATTGTAAGCAAAGATGATTAGTGGGTTGAAGTAATAATTCTTTACGAAAAGTAAGATGTACAGACTGTAAGGTTTCTTATTTTGGGCTTTATCCATCGTCTGGTATATATAAGACAAAAAACCACAACGTTTCGGAGACTGGATCTGTCTCCGTCCTCAGGTGGATATGGCAAGATAGACCTACTCAGTTAGGCCCGTTAGAAAGAGCTAGTCTCAATGACCGGACGAATCCTTTCAAGTCTGTTTGAAAAGTAAAATATTTGTAATGCTCACTTTACAATCTGCCCAATTTATTGTAAGTGTATTTATAACTTTATGTGCCTGGCTTTCAGGAAAAACCATCTCTGTTGATTCCATGGATGGTCTACTCCCTTGTTTTCATTGTAGAGAATACTGTTGTGAACATATACTACGCAGTTCAGTACATCGGAATGAGCGAGGGGGTGATCGCCGCCGGAGTTATTATTGGGGCCATTGTACACCTACGTGAGTAATTTTCTTGCGTGAATTAACTAACCTCAAAATTAGACATGTCAGATTTTGTCTATATACGTTACTATAAGCAGTAAATGGACCGCCTCTGTGGTCTAGTGTTCAGATTTCCAGAGGTCCGGGTTCGATTCCCGGCTCTCCAGATTTTCTGAGAAGTAATGGGTATTGAACGGGGTCCACTCGACCTCGTGAGGATAATTGAGGAGCTCATTGAATGGAAAAGTAGCGGCTGCGGTCTATAAAACCGAAATTAATAGCCGTAGGAATTCGTTGCGCTGACCACGCGACACCCTCTATCTTCTGAAGTTGGCATTTATTTCGCCGACAAGCGGCGGTCCCTCGGTCGGTAAAGTACGCTTTCGGACTAAAACCACGGAGTTTTTTATAAGCAGTGAATGCATTGTCCATATCGGTTGTCTCAGAATGGTAAAAGTTAAAGGAATCCCTGTAACAGGCCCTGGAGGCTCATAAGCTTGTGAGACGTGGAGGTTCCCATATTTTGTAGGCAGTCGGTTCACAGATGACGGTGATGTTGTCAGCCTTACGGGCCGACCTCCCTATACTCCCAGGAAGATTCCTAGTACTCATTTGTGTTAGAGCGTGAGTTGACCCTGGGGTCACAATGAGGCTGGGACGGGGCTGCATCCACCGAGGGAGGACGAAAAATGGACTTCAGGCTTTCTAATAAATTTCAATGGCCGAGACTGTACTCAGACATATATTAAAAGAAACTGCTATCTTTGAAGCAAGGGTGGGCAAGTATTCCGTATTCTGGGGGTGGGGGAAAGATCGGATGGCTAACTAAGCCATATGGCCTAGATAAAATATTATTAAAATTTAAACCCATTGATTCAACGCCAGCCGGCCCAAAATCTCAGAAACACACATTAAAATATAAGATTATGGTCTCGAAACTTTTACTGGTGTACCAATCTCACCGATGCACCGGCACTTACATGATGAGCTCGAGAGTTTCAGCAGATTGTAACTCAAACTGTTCTGTATTTCAGTGCTCCAGGTCTACTTCCTCCTTGTGGTGTACAGTCTGTTCAGAGAACTGAAGAGAACATCGCCCTCACCTGACCCTTGAAACTTCACACTCACAGGCACTCAGATTTGGAATCTCCAGCGCATATATCGTTACAAAGAGCCTGAGTCCTCTCTTAAACATCTTAAACTGTGCCTTAAGCAGTAAACACACACGAAAATAATAATTATAAAGTGATATAGACATATTCAGTTTATTCCTATAAATTTAAAGAACTGTGAAAATCATATACACATAACAGAGCAATTGAAATGTTCTTAGAAATTTGTGACGGTGCTCATGTCATAGAAATTCTGTAATATCTACACGATATTCGAACATGAATTGATTTTGTTTTCTGGTGTTTGTAATGTGTTATCCCGTTTATGAACACTATCAGGCTAATCTATTCGTTTTGAAAAAATCAAGTACCAATTATTGATCTTTCTATGGACATTCAAAGTACGACAAACTACAATGACATTCTGGAGTAGGGTTAGAGAGAAAATAGATTCTAAAGAGTTCTGACGGTCGTGTATAACACTTGGAATTACTAAGTTTTCGAACTTTGTCCCTTGTGCGGTATTTTAAAGAACACAGCGTTTCTGAACCTGGATCTGTTTCCGTCCTCAGATGAAGGGTGGGAGCCACCTGAACTGCTGGTCCGTTACAAGGATCTAACCTCGATCACTGGACAGTCTACGTACAACCATTATCAAAATTTCTATTGGATGTTCTCTGATGTCTCCCGTTGACAAATCCTGATCTCAGATGTACGTGATGCAGCTGTAGTTGTGTTGTCATAGGCAGACCAGTGGTTGAGGTTAGCTGTCTTTAAAGTAATCAACAGAGTAGGCGTCCCCCCCCCCGATTGAAAAAGAAAACAGATCCAGTTTCCGAAACGTTATATTATTTAGTGCTTACAATATTATATTTAAGCATCCTGTTACACTCACACAATACATGAGACAAGCTCCGTCTTAAGTGCAACAATTTAATTGTAGTTCTTTCTTCTTTCCTTCCTCTACACTACATGTTTCGGCCCTAAATGGCCATCATCAGGTGTATATTCTTACGTAGCTGCTACACTGCCCGTAGTTTAAAATTTAAAACCCCCAGTCTTTCCAATTGTATGTATGTATAAAATCTTTGTTAACCTACACACGTCAATTTGATTTCCAAAATTGGCACTTTTTAAAACTTCAATTCAAATTAAAATGTCTTTAAATTTTCCGTTCTTTTTCTTTTTCCAAATTTTAAAAATTAAAATTTCTCGGGGTACTCGCCCTGTGTCTATAGTGCTGCAGCGGCCACTTCTTGTTTATCGCTGTTCAGGTATTTTTATGTGTAGGCTCTCTGTGCGTGTGCCGCTGCCTATCTTTAATACGTGTCTAATAGTGTTATTTGGAATACGGGACAATGGACAACGTCCCTAAACCCTAACAATTCCTAAAGATAAATTTATTCGTAACATTAATTTTAAACATAAAATAGTCTGAAAAACACTAGTAGGAAGCACAGCGCAATTCAAATATTCTGCCGAAGCATCGAGACGTGGAGGCAGAAAAGCAAAAATCTTTTGACAGTTTATGGAAAGATGCCTTAAATATGTTGCCTGCTGCTGCGCGTGCGCAATTTATTTTGCACGTCATGTGACATTCTGCTGAAACTGAAGAAATGTTCGTTTCAGTTGCAACAGAAGAAGTACGAAACATCATTAAACCTATTATTATTCGTATAATTGTGCATATTGAAACTAGTTAAGCTGATTACAATGTGTTTAAACGAAACTTATAGTAAAGTCCATATAGGCTAATATTTGTTCGATAAATTTCCTATCCAGAATGGTCTGAAACAAGGAGATGCTTTACCGCCACTCTTTTTCAACTTTGTTTTAGAATATGCCATTAGGAAGGTCCAGGGAAACCAGGTGGGACTGAAATTAAACGGGACACATCAGCTGTTGGTCTATGCCGATGATGTGAATCTACTGGGTGATAAGATAGATACCATAAAGTAAAATACACCGAAGTGAACGGAATTTCATGGAGGTAGGCCTAGGCCCACCGGGGCTGTAGTGCCAAGGAAAAAAAGTGAAATACACAAAATTTAATTGACGATAGTAAGGAGGTTGGTCTAGAAGTAAACACAGAGAAAACTAAGTATATGTTGCTGTCTCATCACCAAAATGCAGGGCAAAATCATGACATAAAGATACGAAACAGATGTTTTGAAAATGTGGCACAGTTCAGATATTTGGGAACAACGATAACAAATCAAAACCTGATTCAGGAGGAAATTAAGAGGCGATTGAACTCGGGTAATGCTTGCTACCATTCAGTCCAGAACCTTTTGTCTTCTCGTCTGCTGTCCAAAAACATAAAAATTAGAATATACAAAACTATAATTTTGTCTCTGGTTCTGTATGGGTGTGAAACTTGGTCTCTGACATTAAGGGAGGAACATAGACTGAGGGTGTTTGAGAACAGGGTGTTGAGAAGAATATTTGGACCGAAGAGAGATGAAGTGACAGGAGGTTGGAGGAAACTGCATAATAAGGAGCTTCAAAACTTGTACTCTTCTCCAAGTATAATGAGAATGATCAAGTCAAGGAGGATGAGGTGGGCAGGGCATGTAGCACGAATGAGGGCGGCGAGGTATGAATATAGGATATTGGTGGTAAAACCAAAAACAAAGAGACCACTGGGAAGACCAAGGCATAGGTGGGTGGACAATATTAGAATGGATCCTAGAGAGATAAGATGGGATGGGATGGATTGGATTGATCTGGCTCAGGATAGAGACCAGTGGAGGGCCCTTGTGAACACGGTAATGAACCTTCGGGTTCCATAAAGTCCTGCGAAATTCTTGAGTGGCTGCACAATTAGCGGCTCCTCAAGAAGGGCTCAGCTCCATAAGTAAGTATTATTGTGCACAGAAACAGAAAGAAGGAAATTAAGTTGATGTACACATATGTAAGTTAGACGTTTCATAGTCACTCTGTCCTTCGTTAAGTACTCACAGCTGTTCGTACTGCGAAGTAAGGGAAAAGTAGACGGACTGTTGTTAATAAGTACAAGTTAACAGATATGAATGTAAGTGTATTGTTATATTTATTTGTTAATAAGTACAAGTTAACAGATATGAATGTAAGTGTATTGTTATATTTATTTATTATATTTCGAGATGTTGACAAGAAGAGAGGAAAACATCCGCTGGACGCCCCAAGTTACGCTGGAAGGACCAACCAATCTTAGAGAGGAATAGAACGGACAGAAGTGTCCAGTCTTACTTTTGATGATGATAACAAATATTCTGTTAATAACAACCGTTTTCAATCTACATGTATATCATTACAATTTATTGCCATGAAAATCTGTTCCCTGTGCTAGATTTCAGGTTCTCAAGTCATTGATTATGAATACGTCGATATGACACCGTGTAGTTTGGTAGTTCGTTACGAAGTTCTAGAAAGAATCTGCTGTCTCCATCTTGAGATAGAGACAGAGATAACAGACTCCTTGGAAACGTCGGTAGCGATCCACCAGAATACACGGTGTCACAACTCTTGAAACAATAATCACTTATGTCTTCTGCGATATACCGTTGTGTAGCTCCGTGAAAGTCAAACGATGTTTCGGGAAAATATATTGCCTCCATAATCTCTTTTTTATACAGAGTGTTTCACGACTTTAGGGCATAACTGCAGGAGGTTATTTCCTAGGTCTCTGTGATCAAAAAAGTTCATATATAAACATGTGTCCGATTTTGGACGGTTATGGAGTTATGACCGTTTTTTTCATACCCGTACACGCCCACGTGTGAACCGCGTCTGTCTTTCTGGCGGTTCGCTATTTTTAGCCAGTTACAGACAGAGCGTTCTCGTTATCTCGACAGTTGAGAGTTACCTAAGGAGTGGTGGGTTGGTATGTACCCGGGCGATTCACAACCGAGCGGCAGCCTACGTTGCGACCGGCGGTGGCATTTTCGAAAATCAGCTTTAAGCACCAATCAATTCAAATTAAGGTCATTTCACGAAGTTAACTTTACATTCATAATTTAAATGTATCATGTATTATGCTGGTTTATTATTTTGTTCCGTTTATTGTCAGTAATCGTTACCTTCTATTCTGAGTTTAAAACGGTCATAACTCCGTAACCGTCCAAAATCGGACACATGTTTATATGAACTTTTTTGATCGCAAAGACCTAGGAAATCACCTCCTGCAGTTATGTCCTAAAGTCGTGAAACACCCTGTATACGTATTATAGCAAACAGAATTAAATACATTCTTTAAGCTAATTTGCTAATTTAAACCCTGTCCTCGTGTGCTTATTGTGTCGTAATGAGGGCTCCTCCAATGAGAGATCCTCATCAAGCATCAAGTAGAACTGCTGGCCATAATTTCTTTAGCTTTCTTCGTTGCTGTTCCAGTAGGGGCTGCAGTAATGTATTACTATGGTTTCCTAGTTTATCATGATGTTTTATGCTTTTTTCTGGATGATTTCTTTGATGAATGGTACATTGAGATCGTCATGTAGGGTCTGATTGGTCACATACTAAGGTACATTTGTGATCCCCTTACGAGTTGGAACCCCCTTTAATGTGAACGGGATAGCTCAGTCGGATTAGGGGATGAACGGCCGGGGTTCTATTCCCGGCAAGGGACTTTTTCTATACTTCACATAGTGACGCACTGAGGGCCACTCATACTCGTATCCAATGGGTACAGGTAAATTCTTTCTGGAGTTAAATTGGCACCCAGTGCTGAGGTCAAGAATGATCAAGTTATAGCTCCTCACCCCAATACGTCTTCATAACATAGTGCTTAATTCATTAAGGCCAGAGATAATTTTGCAGCACCCGGTGCCCATTGTATAAGAGCCCGAGTGGGCCCCAGAAACGATCTGGATGTTGTGGAGAAAAGAAAAATCCCTAGTCCATACCGGAAATCGAACCCGGACTCCCTGGTCGTCAGGCTCGTAGCCTAGCCGCTGTCCCGGCTCCAGCATGGTTATGAAAAATATGTTAGTATAGAGTTTCCAGCTTTGAGTTCGAGGGGTGAGTTTAGGCATACACAGTGTGCAACTAAACAGGATCCCCTACTTCGTATCGAGTTTGTTAGCCAGTCACTAACTTAACTTTTCTTACAGATATTTACCGAAGGCTAAATTATATGTAATTACAATGATTCTATGCTGACAATCTACAGTCTGTAAGTAAAAATACCACATGTTATTTTATTACACGTTTCTTCAAACCGGTGTAGCGCAGTCGGTAAGGCAACTGCCTACGGACTGGACGACCGAGGGTTCGGAGTTCGAGTCTCAGTAGGGTCATAATTTTCTGTTCTACATATCGTACAGACCAGCTGTGGGCCCCACCCAGCCTCCTATCCAATGGGTACCAAGGGCCCTTTCCCCGGGGGTAAAGAGGCAGGGGCGTGAAGCTAACCACTCACCTCCAGCTAGTGACTAGTTCGAGAAAATGTGGATCTATACATCCACTGCCCCATAAATTTTCATGGCGTATTGCTTAATTAGTTAAGCTCAGGGCCACCTTTACCTTTACCTTACTTGGAATAAGAAAGAACTGTCAGTACAGTGGAATTATTATCTTGCGTCTCTACTTGTAACGTAAGTACCGGGACGTGTTTCGTTTGCAATGTTTTCATTGTGCATATGAAAAAGGACTGAGTTGTACGTATGATTGGAGTCTACTTCACATCAATTAATATGACTGATTGGCCAAGCCATTCCTCCTTCAAATATTCTGGGTTTTTTTTTNGCTGTATAAACCTCTGGTACAAGAGGTTCCGCGTACACAAGAAATGAGTAATTTCGGAAATTTTTAAAAAATA